TCGTTGGATTGTACCCGGTAGTAGCATGAGTAATCTAAGGAGATATCCAGAGCCTCTGCATAAATATGAACCAGGGTGGTCAACCCCGGTTAAGTGCATGCGCTTCATACTTGTACATCATCACAGTCAACGTCGCTTCATTTGGTGTCATCTACACTAAGGTATTCGTAGGCCCGAGCCCGAGGGTTCCATCGACCGGTCAGTTTTCTCCATCCGCGCCAGACGGTGAAGAAATTCCGTGAAACGATCCACCGTCTTCACTGATGGATCGGAGCGTTTCCCCCCTTCCCTTCTTCCCGTTCCCACAGGTAGTGGTCGGGTTACAAGCCGGACTGACTGGTTCCCAGCCTCCAGGTACTGCAGCCTGTAGGTAGCCTTTCCGCTCGGAGCCCGTCACGACTCATATCCCAGCCCTCATCCCAGTGCCTGTATCTTTTCCCACCAAGGGCCCTTGATTGCGTAGTGAAAACAGATGGGGAAATAAACTCTCACAGTGAATACCTCCGTAAAGAAAAAAAGACGATGAGGGAAAAAAGGTACATGGCCAGGGGACCTGGCACGAACTTTGCAAAGGCATGGGACCCGGACGACCAACCGGCACATCCGCGGTTCGACGGCCGGCGTCCATTTGGAATGACAGCTGGTGGGGAATAATCGCCCTTTTGCCCAAGTTTCCTAGTAATGAGTGTCCGTGCCAGCCCAGACGCAATAATCCCATCCAAGCCCAAAACTTTGCTGGGCGAGAGAAACCCGCCCGCCCACTGGCTGCATTGTGAGATGAAGTAAATCTCAATGGGTCAAGTTGCCAGGAAGATGAGCGCCTGTATGAGTAAGTTATTGACCTAGTGAACGGGTTCACTGGCCTTCCCCTCCTCCGTTGGCGCCATCGCCGCCGCCGCCGCGGCCACATCTTCAACACGTTGACTAAGGTAAGACAATCTCTCCACTAGTACTAGAGCGCCCCCATCGTATGGACTCCACGACCCCTTTCTCGCCTGCTAGATGCACCCTTTCGCCTTGCCTCTAGGTTGTCTTTCAGCCTGACAGATACTTCAGAAGTTCACACCAGTAAACCCATCAGGCAAGCAGGAAGACGAAGGAGGGCGATCATCTCGTGGTGGATTCGCAACTACGAGACCGGGCTCTTCTGTCACCTGTATGCTCCGGCCTGGCAATAAGAGAGCATGGACATGGTCATCTTCAATCGCCGGCCATGGTAGCGTTCAATGCTGCACAGCTTTATGCTTCTCTTCAGGGTCGGACCCTTGGAGGAGGAGGGGGATCAGGATCCCAAGGAATGCAAAGCCCGCGCCGTCCGCCGGTCTCTTGGGACGGGCTGCGTTTTGGCATTTTGGCCAACATACCCCGCCAAATGGGCAATGCCATTTGGCAATAGTCGATACCTATCCTATGCCTGGCAGATTGGTTGGGCCCATGCCATGCAAAATGCAAGCCGTGCGGGCTGCAATGTCACCGACGTTTTTGGTGACGGGCATGAACTTGGCCAAGGTTTGGCCGGGTTTCCGTTCCCTCTAACACCCCCAAAGATTCGGGCCAATCTGGATTTGTGGCACAGCGTCTTTTGGTAGAAGGTATCGAGCTCACAACCATGCTCAGCTGGGCTTAGGAAAGCACTGCATTGCCGCATTATCATGGCCAACTTCGAGGCATGGAACCAGCGAGATGATGGACAATCCCATCGCACGCACAAGGGCGGGGCTTTGGCTCCGCATAGAGTGTTTCTTGTTCCGAGTTCGTTTTCGATGATTTTACTTGGGGGCCGTTAATGTGCCCTCGAATATTGCCAGACAAGGGGTTGGGGGAATTAGGATTGGTTTCCCGCTTCCTCGAAAAGAACAGAGCATTGGCCCATTTTCAGGGACCCCTCGTGGGATTTTCGTCGTGATACAATCTGTCGCCCGTGTTTCCACTAACCACCCCCCTTATTCTGAATCCCCTCTGTCCCGTCCGTGACCATGAGGGGAGGGAGGGGAGGGGAGGGACGTGCGAATTGTCTCGTGAAAAGGGCAAGGCAGACCTCCGGACCTGCTGCGCTGCATTATCCATACGGATACGCATACCATGCGACGCGCAACAGACTTCTTCCAGAAGCTCTGGGCCGCGGGTTCCTTGCCCGGGCCCCATGTCGTCTCAAGTTCATCCGTGGTTGCGTTGCGAAGCGAATAACTCCTCTCGGGCTACTCTGTTCCGCCTTGTCTAACAGCCTACCTCATGCCAGGATGCTTCCCGCCTATTCTGCTGCCGCTGGACCTCATATTGTGGAGGATGGTTTAGCGATCAATTCTCTAACTCTTCATCCAGCGAATGGAGTGTTGTAGGTCGGACACTCTCGTTTCGCTAGTTCTTGGCTTCTACACGAGACTCGTAGGGACAATGGCGTTGTGCCAATTTCGGAGGGGTCTTGCAATAACTTGTGACTGATCAGAACGTGATCTCGTGATCGGTGGATATACTCCGTATGGACATCTATTTCCCAGAAAGCCACGCTTCGCTCATCCTTGTGCTGACTCGGGGTGGGCGCGGAGATCACGATGTCGTGCTGCCGATGCACCTGTGCGGACCTAGAGTTCTGACGCTGTGCATCTCCGTTGTTGCATAGGTACATATCCTCCAGGGGTCCTGTGAGGTGGTTACAGATTGCTCCATCTCTAGTCACCCTCATCTCTGGGCAACGGAAATTTTCCCATCCTCTTTTTGCACGATTCCGTTAATTGCTGCTATTGCAACTGGACCAACCACCACCCTTGAAGACACACACGCCCAGACATTGGAAGGATGCTGGTGGGATTCAGGGTGGGACTGGGAGGGGAGGGCCGCCGCGGGTGGTTGGGAAGCATCCGGTTCATCTCGTCCCACGAAGTTGGGAAACCGCCGATCCGGAGCCGCCGCGTGGCCGGGCAGAAGCTCTTTTTCCTAGTCCGGATGCCGCGATATGAAAGGTGCCCGTGGCAACGACGCAGATGTATTGGAATCTTCGACGATCCCTCTACCGTGATTCAAAAAGGCTGTTTCGTTTTAGTGTAGGGCCACCTGTTGGACCCTTGGAAAGCTTCACGCGAGATGAGCAGAACGTAAAAATCGTATTCCAACACCCCCTCCCCTCTCTCGTCCATCTCGTGAACGGTAGGAAAGAGTCCCCGCGCTCGCCTCGCTTCGAAATTTCGTTGAGACAAGGCCCTGAACTGAGAATTAGAGGCCGCTGTTGCAGTAGCCCCATGCCCTGTAAAGTCTAGCGCCCTGCCAGGCGTGGAGATTCGATTCCGCTTCTGGAAGCTGTGGAATATTCTTCTCGTTTTTTTCTCTTCACGATGGAAGACTGACCGAATGGAACCCCAGGTTGAGTAAGATGGCGGACGCAGCGGTGTACATTACCGAATGGAGACGAGGGCATCCACTGCCGTCCACCGGACAACAGAGTATCGTGCCGAATGGAACGTCCTCCATGTGAACAATACCGAACCATGTGAATTGAGTGCATAAGCCGTTTTTTTGTGAGAGCCGGAAGTGTACAAGCTTTATGCGTCTGACTGCCGGGGTTCCACAGCGCCAGTAGGTTTTTTTTTCTTTCGTCGGAGGTGGCTCCGGGTGGCGGCTGACGACACGGAATACGACCGCAAAACTACAACGGTCGTGGCCGGTCATTTGAAAAAGCAAAAACATACAACACCAGGTATTCGCTGATCGTCACCGACTCAACTACTAATCTGGCCCTCATCAGCTTGTCTATGGGAGAGCGGACGGGATCCCGAATTTTCTGATGGGTGTGGTCGTATGTGCTTGTCTTCCAAAAGAAGTTTCATTATATTGGAAGCGGATCCTATGCACCGGCTCTAGGCTGACTCTGAATGTACACTGTTCAGCATCGATATAAAATCCTGTATGGGCTCCTCTCCATATGTCGATGCGTAAGTCTACGACTCTGGAAGTGAAGAAACCGTTAAGCTGCAGACGAAGAACGATAGTCGGTGATGATAGAAGAAGGTAGTGGCAGTAGCAAGACTGCGTTTTGAGAGAGCCGCCAGGGCATCTTTGCGAAGTCTCTTCCCAATGCATAGGAACGTTCTTCGCTTGAGGGGAACCCTTGCTGTCTTGAGCTGTTTCGGTGGTAAATGTTTGTGCCTCAGGGACTCGTCAGTACCATCCAGGTAAATGGCAAGTAGTTGGAGTATCCTGCTTGCGGGTTCTCCTAAGTCTAGCAACCACTTGAGCTCATCGACATACTAGATAGGTAGCTAAGGTACTTATTGAGAAGTCGCAATCGATGGCAAATATGTTATTCAAGGTCAAAATGCATCAGGTTGCTCGCCGGACGCGTGGACCAAGGTAACAGTTCAAACTTCACGTGCGTCTAATCTTTGACATATACTATTGGCCGTCTAGCATGTGCATATAAGGTACTAAGGAAACCACTGAGTACTAAGTAAGTGCAAAACTTTTAAGATAATTCCATGGAACTGCCTATTCTTATCCTACTGTGCGATGTGGTGTTCTTGGAGTCATTGATCAAGCGAATGAATCATGCGATGTTTCGGTCTCAAGCTGAGTGAGTGCTCAGGTGCTCTACTGGGCCATCGTTCTTTCCTCTCACCATCCCTTTGTTCCTGCCTTGAGAAGGGTAGGAACGACGAGGAATAACAAACGCGCCTTCTCTAGACGCCCTTGGCTGCCTAACGGGCAGGCTGTTGACCGGAGTTTTCTTTCTTTCCAACCTTCCATCCGTCCCTCCTCGCTCACTCACACACTCAGTCCCCAGGAAATTCCCATCGACATTACAAAATCCTTTCCTCAATACGCATCTTTCATCCATTCTTCTCAAGAATTCTTCAGATCCGCCAACACCGATATTCACATCATTACTTGTTGCTTGTGCCTCTAAGTCAAGAAACCCTTCATTCTACCTCCCACTCTTCACGCCAAAAACATTTGGTGATCTTCTCAACATACGCAGGTTCCAACACACACACACCGAGACCACAGCCATGTCTTCCTACTACTCCTCTCGTCCTAGCAGGTAAGTAAAATGCAGCGTTATCTTCTCACTGTGGTCAATGGCACTGACAAATACTTCTCAGTTCCCAGGACCTTGGTGAGAAGCTTGGCGAGAACATGGCCGAGAAGTAAGTTGCGATATACGAGAATTGTGCCGACGCGACTAGTCTCTGACACCGCTGACACTTTCTTATAGGTATCGCTGCAAGATTGGCGGTGAGTGGAAGCCGATGTCCGGCTTCTCCAAGAAGCAGCAGAAGCTTGTTCAAGACAAGCTTGATCGACACGCTCGAGTCAACCGTGCCAACACTGGCATGGTCTGCCGCATTCACTCGGGTGAACCCGTCAATGAGATTCGATGTGAAGGTCCATGTGACGAGATTAAGACCTTGGACCAGTTCTCCAAGAACAATAGAACCAATGGCGTCAACGTGAGTCCCTAAGCCGCATACCATTTCCACTTCCGCTCACATCTTTGTGTACAGTTCTGCAAGTCTTGCCAGCACTGGATCAACACCCAGGAGCCCGGCTACACTCCCTGGGCCGGTCCTAACACTCAACTGGACCCCCTGGAGAACACGGACGACTACGCGAGTCACCTGCCGACTGATCCCTCCGAGATCTTTGACTTCCGTAGTGAGGTTGATCAGGTAAGAAAGACCATGAACTGCCAACTTGAACAAGACTAATGTGCTCTGACAGCCCCTCGCTCCTGTCACTGGAACCAACGGCCTCACTGCCGCGGATGACCTCTCGACTCGCATTGAGTCTATGGGCATCGAGACTCGTCAGCCCTACATTGCTGGCCCGATCGGCCTTGGGGCTAGAAATGTCGGCTATGCTAGCTACAATGCCGGCGCCTCCGGCCTGGACAGCGAGAGCATTGCCTCTGCTGCTACCTCGGCTATCGCAGGTACCATTGAGACAGGCCGTGATTACGAGTTTCACAACACCTTCCTTGATGTCAACTTCAATGCCTACGACTCGGCTGGCAAGAAGCATATCAAGACCAAGGTCCCCACTACCCAGTCCAGTGGCTCTTCCATGATTAAGAGTCGCCATACCTACAAGGGAGGTCGCCCCGAGACCGGATCCAACACTACGGCTCTCGCCGCTTCGAGCGTTGCGCCTAGCGGTCCCTGGCCCGGTGTAAGTCCATCTATCACTTTCTAATGTTTCAGTACCCTACTAACGCACTCTCAAGGATCGTCAGCGCGATAGAAAGCAGCTCACGAAGGCGGAGCACCGCGCGCTCCAGAGAGGCAGGCCTCAGCCTCAAACAATCTTCAATCCCATTCCGTACGGCAACGGCGATGACAACAGTGACGACGAGTAGGAACCTCATTCTTCCACGCGTCATCTGGGCACCAAATAACTCTATTTGGTAGCGGTGGTTTCATGCCGCCATGGAGAACATTTCCATCAGTGGTTACCCGACGCCCTCATCTGTCTGATTGTTTTCTTTTCTTCCTTTTCTGTATTTGAGCTTCTTTGAGTTTCTTGCCTGCGTTTTAATCGCAGCTCAGCGCAAAGCCATTCCGTCCCAATGTTCACGGGCAAGTCATCCGGCAGCAAACAACCGACCAACCTCACATGCCTAGAGGAGTGGGAGGAAGTTTGATGTTTGGTACCAGCTACAGCGCAACTATAGTCTATGGAAGCTTCACGGGGACAACTCCTGACAAATCAGGGAACGCGAAGGGATGGCAGTTCTGGGCATATTTCCACGGATTACATGGGGTTCGACTTCTCTCCAACTTTGCAACTTCTCAACGATAAGACGGTGGCGGTTCCGAACGGTAAGGATCATGGGAAGGAAGGCACGGAAAAGTTTTGCTCTTTCAGGTACCTCGATAGTCAGGTAACCGCAACTTCACTAATAGTCAGTTCACTTTGCAAATCAAAACGTTCCCTATGCAACCATGTGTATTTCAACTGTGTAACGAGAGAAACATGTGGCAAAAAAGAAACCCGAGACGCCCACCGCCATCCAGTCTCATTGCCGATGCGGCCTGTCCAATGTGTGTGTGTGATCCCGTGCTCCTGTCCAGCCGGGGTAATTCTTTTTGAAAATGCCCCCAAACCATACCCAAAAGAAGAAAACAAAAAACGATGTGTCCTCCACGCGTGCCACAACGGGCGCGGAGATGGTCCCATCCCAGATTCCAACATGATGCTGGCTTATAGTACTCCCGCCCTCAAGGTGTCGTCGACCTAACTGTAGAAGCCCCGACGTCCCTCGCCTTGCCGCTATGGATCAAGTAACGGAGGGGTTCGGCTCTCCGACATGATCTCGATCGCCGAATATTGAGGAGCGATTAATGGCCTGTTTCAAGACAGGCTAATCACAAGTCGTTGTTTTGCTTGAAATACCCAGGATCGGTGTCGCCCCGATTCATCATCTCCTGAGCGTCTCCAACCTGCCGACGCTCCGTGATCTCGCGATCCTTAAGCCTCTTGTGCAGTGTATACCTTAACCCTAGCGTCAATCCTCGAGCGTTCCTGTCCCTCATGACTGCTGGTCCCTATTGAAGAGGTTCCGATGAGCTGGACAGACGATTGAGATGCAAATAAACATCCGTGCCATATCTACATTCGGGGTAAGCTTGGGGTTACGTAAAATAAGTCCATGGCACAGCGCGCGACTCACCCTTCCATGCTGATAAGTTTCAAGTCTCCGCCAAAGTATCGCGCGTAAAGTCGTGAGATAGGCAATCCGTATCCAAAGCCAGCCATAGGCGCTTTGAAGTCGTTCTTATCAAAGTCCGGGTCCAGATTCGGTGTGCGATCCACAGTGGTGTACATATATGTCCAAACGAGAGGTATAGAGCTTCGGGGAATACCACCACCCTCGTCCGAGATCTTGATGGTGATATCCTCCTTACCCTCTGCCACAATGACCTTGGTCACAGGGAATTCCTGCTTATCCTGACCGTGTGTTTCGACAACGGCGCGGAGAGAGTTTTTCAAAGTCTCAAAGAGCATATGCGAAAGATGCCCTGGAACGTACATGAAGTTCAGGTTAGGGTTGCAGACGAGTTGAATCTTGGGTGCTTCGAAAAGTCCGTAATGGTCCTCGCAGACAAAGCGCGCATTCTCAATGGCTTCTTGCGCGAGATCCTGAACATTGGTCTTGGTACAGATGATGCCGACATAGGTGGGATCCCGGTGGTGGCTTTGATCGGTCAATGCAATGTGCTGACCGATGAGCATGCGGATCCCTATGCGCGACATGTAAAATCGATCGAGGAATGACTGGATGTTGTTATCAATCTGCATGCGCTGTCTTTTGCGCTTGTACTCCAGGATGCCCTGTGCCATGGTGGTGACAACTCCGTCGTGGCGCCTCTTGATGCCATGCAGGGCTTTGGCGAAGCGCTCGTTGTACAAGCGCAGCTCAGGCGGCCAATCGCCGACATCATCCACCATTGCAAAATATCTCCGTGCGGCGACGTTCTTCTGCTTGCTCCAGCCGTTTCCATTGGACTGCGGCAAAGAGGCATATTGGCCTTCCTCGATACTCGGGTTTCGGGTTGCCTCGGAGAGCATTGGACCTTTCCCGTACGATTTGGCAGGCCTCAAGAGCCTTTCTTTTGTTGATTTATCCAAGTCAGGTCGGGGAAGTTGTGTGAGTTCCTGCGCGGACGGATGAGTGTCAGTGAGTCATGTCCTTCATGCATTATGCGATAGAAAAGCCTTGACATACCTCGAATGACTGTGCGTACCAGTCCTGCACTCGCTTCACGGAGGGCATGTCGTTGAGGCCATCTGGAAGTTCGTCGAGCTCTTGTACACGATGGGCAAGGCGGATTGGTAGCTCCTCGGCAAGGAATTGTGAGGCACGGAAGAGGGTTCCTGGAAGCAGAATGAACAGTCAGCACTATGGCAGCTTGAACAAAAAGCTAGTCAAGTAGGAACTGGCGCATTGCTATCGCATGCAAGCTCAGCAAGCAACGGAGCAGAAGGGAGGTAAATGCAAGCCGTTAGGAAACGGAGGGGAGTTGCCAAGGGTTGACGAACCAACTGAAGGCTTCTCTCCAAATTGGACCATCTGCCTCAAGCTCACACCAGTTGCCGGGAAACTGGCGTAATGCCTGATGGTATCCATCAACCTATCCGTCTTCCTCCACGACATGTTGGGCGGCTCTGAATTGGCGATCTACTGTTGAAATGAGGTATTCGAATCGAACCCCGCGTGACCGAGTTGGGGCGGCCTTTACCGAGGCTGTATGACGCAGGGCAACATGGAACAGACACAAGCGGGCGAAATGCGGAGGAAGAGATGTCGAGGGATTAGGAGACGAGGTTGAAGATTAAAGCCAGATCTACTGCCGCATAGTCAATGGGAGTGAGGAGAGGTCGCGTGCAGCGTACGGGAGGTGTTTCGTGTAGGTTTATTTCTGGTAATGGAGACGGAATAGGAACTGGGACCTCAAGAAGGCGAGAGCTTGGGATTGCCGGGGACGACAGGAACAAGGCCGGGCCAGGGCTCCTCAGTGGAGAGTTCCTGATGCTCTGGGCGGACGGCAATGGTACGCAGGTACTTGCCCCGACTCGGCGTCATACTGCCTATGCCCATGGTTCGATGATAGCACGATAAGTACCTCGACCCGGCTTACATAGCCGACCGTAGAGGTGCGCTTCAAGCGAGTTTCCCGCCGGTTCTGGCCGTAACAACGGTTCGCAATTGTTTAGCCCGAGGTGCGAATGTGTATGTTTAGGTCCTTTATTCGAACAGCTATCAGCCAGGTAGAGAATGGTGATTCGGGGCGTTAATTCGACGGTATCACGGCAAGACTCTCTGTGCGTTGCCAACTCTGTCTCACTCTACAGCGTGGGTACACATATCTACAGCTCTGTTACAGTACCACAATAGAGACACAGGCCGGATGGATGCCATGTAGTATCTCCAGAATAAACATTGGGTATGGTGCAGATAATGAGCAGTTTTGCTCTGTCAATCAAGGAGACAGTCAAGATAAACCAGCTCCAGAAAAACGGAAAAAGGACCGAGCCGTCAAACCACACTGATTCAGCGAAAAGAAATAAAAGAAGAAAAAAAGAACAAGATAAATCGAATAGTCAGCACACATACTTACCACTACTAGCTTGAAATTGAATGCTGGGCAATCAAGAGTCACGATTATATGTCGGGCATGTGACGGAGTGACGGACGGCGGAAAGGAACGGATCGTGGCAGTTGGTGTGTACTTCCGTCACTATCAATTTCCTTCTCCAACTCTACAGCACGCGACGACGGTCAACCGCGGCGGAGGAGGGGCTCTTGTTCAGCGTCTGCCCTTCCTCGTAGCCGAGAGAGCTGTGCCCGTGCCTAGGCTTGCTTGCTTCCCCCACACCGAGTCTTGAGGTAAATGCTGACATAAGGTGAAGAGGTTACGAAGCTAAGCAAGGTACCTTAAGCTGGGTGCACCTCCACTACAGCAAATGCTAGCAGCTCTACTGCGTAGCCGTCACCTCCCCAATCACATCCCGGTCGCGTCCTTCCCCCTTCTCGCGAAATGGCCCTAGGTAAATCCGTCTCCAGCGTTCACCCATTGTCACAGTCCCAGCTTGACCCCTGTGGTCACATGCAAGGCGCCACAATTCTTCAAGCCCCCCCGAGTCCTCGCCCAGCCTTCACCAGCCTCCCACGCCTTCCAGAGCCACCTCACGCGTCGAACGCGCCAAAGACAAGACTCGACGCATCGCCAATTGGTCGGCCTCTTTGACCAAACAGCGCCCGATTCTCCTGCAGCTGACGCCCAAAATCCCCCAATCTTTGGCATTTGCACCAGAAGCCGCCCTTTCGGATCGTCTTCGGGAATACTACCTCCCACTAGCTTGCCGCGCCGTGCTGCTTTCATCCGGTGCATGCAGAGTCGACTCGTCGCATTGCAATCGAGCCCAAACCGGCAGTTCTTTGCCTTGTCGCGCGTCTTTTCCGTTCCCCATACCTCTGAGAGGAATACATACACACGGGGACTATTTGTCTAGGAGGCCAAAGACCCGGTTTTTCGGTTGGCCGGCCGCCGCCCTATTAAACATTGTCCAAATCCCTTTTTCACTTCAATGACCAGAAATGTCGGACGGCAGATCGGATTCGGGGCTGGGCCTACGTTTTCTCGATTTGAATGACGATGAGGACGACAACAGCCCATGCAAAGGCCGCTTGCGCCGCTCTAGGAGCCAAACCAGCAAATCGGTCCCCGTAACGCCGCATGCCTCTTCACCGCAAATTTCAACGCCCTCTCTTCCCTCACCGATGAGCTATCGGGGCTTCTCACCTCTCTCACCGACTCCTCGCCAGCAATTTTCCACGCCCGGTGGTTATTTCTC